AACACCCATAATTACATCGGCCATTTAAATAAAGAAAAGAAAAAAGGCCGGGAAACAAAGAAAAAATGTTACAGCAAAAGATTTGAATTCTATTCTTGGATTCTCTTTGCTTCACATGATTTATGCGTTTCTTATCCAGACCTGTGTGGTTCATATGGAATTTAGTGTTTAGATAGAGAACCAGTTTGGTGAAGTGGTTAAGGTACCAGGCTAGAAACTGGGAGATTGTGAGTTCTAGTCCCATCATAGGCACAAGGTCAGTTGGTTGATCTTGGGCCGGTCAACCTCACTCACCGCTAACAAGGAGGCAATGGCAAACCACTTTTGAAAAACTTTGCCAAGGAAACTGCCAAGAGACTTATCCAGGCAGTTTTTGAAAATCGGACACAACTGATATTTTTTGGAGTATAAGACGCTCTAAAGTATAAGATGCACCTAGCTTTTGGGGAGGAAAACAAGAAAAAAAAATCTCCCTCTGCCTTCCAGCAATTTGCCTCCTTGAAGCAAACAGCAAACTGACTGTTTCAGTTTCAGTTTCAGCACAGCCTGATTAGCACAAGCAGCTGATTGTTGGTTGGATCGGCCTCCTGACGATCAGCTGTTTCAGGCTGCAGGGATTGCCATAGCCTATTGCTGCAGGGATCGGAATGGGCAGAAAATGGGGCACACGGAGGGCGAAAATGGGGCGCACAGAGGCCAAAAATGGGATGCGGAGGCCAAAAATGGGGCACGCGGAGGCGGCAATAGGGAATGGCAATCCCTGCAGCCCGAAATAGCTGATGCGTGGGAGGCTGATCCAACCAACAATCAGCTGCTTGTGCTAACCAGGCNTATATATATATATATAATTATATATATATATTTAAAAAAGGCTTCCATTTCATACATAATGAACACCCTTTGTTCCTGTTTTGTTTTTGCTTTTCTTTTTGTTTTGTTTTGCAAACAAGTGTGGTTATTTTGTACATACTGAAAGCAAAAACATAAACAAAAGCTCTGGTTAGTCTTTAAATAAATCCCAGTGTGCGTTTGTGTGCATCTTTGTGTGTACGTGTGTGAGTAGGTATGTATATATAATATATTCAAAAGAAATTATATGTATATATTTATATAACTTTTTTTTTCAGTTTAGATGTGCTTGAGTAATGAGAGCTAGCTTCTGTAGGCATCGAGAGAGAACTGGTTGACGATTAAAAGTAGATTTTTTAAAAAAATAAAAATTAAAAAGGGAAGAAAAAAATGGAAAGACAACTCATTGAAAATCTGCCTCCAATTCATGACGGACTGAGTTGATGGGAGCTGGATTATATAATCATGAGTTCTTTTCCTACCAAAACTAATAGTTTTATGCAAGAAAAAATAGGTTTCTATCAGCCTACCTCAACACAATACAAGAAAGGGAATGCCAGTGTCCTCTAAATGTAGCCAGAATGTGACTATTACTGATTTCTAAGTGTTGACCACATTGGTTGGAGTTCAGAAGAATCTACAAGATGTAGTCAAAATGATCAAGACAATAGTTGTGATGGTACTATCAAATCTCCACCACATTGTTTAATGCGTGAGGCACATCCAAAACATGGGCAGAGCTTTGATGATACTCTTGTGGCCATTTTGGATCACACCTACAGGCACTCATGCTGGACTTGAAGTTCTTGGTGGCCAGCAACAGTTAGAGGCCACCGGTTTCCCATCTTAGGTTCTCTAGAAAAGGGCATTATTTTATTTCAAACTGGAGGAGTTGGTCAACATAGGAATAGTTGCTTACACCAACCCTTCTCTCCCTTTGCCCAACCTGATCTACGATGACTCAAAAATTCTATTTTATTGTGGTTTCAGGGTAAGGCTGGTCCTCTGAATATCTTAAGGCATCGACTTTCAAAGTAACTTAGCAGTTATTGTTGTAACCCTGTTGAACTTCACTTCTTAATACGATGGTGAAATGTCAGGAATTGATGGTGTGGTATTTATTATTTGTGGCCCTGTTTTTCAAGGAAATTTGGTTTCTCAGTAAGCTTCAACATTTAAATAGCTCAAGTGCCTCCCGCAAGTTCGTTCCCAAACACCCTGAAATGATTAAAAACTGACAGATTGCCCCAGCAATTAACACAAAGTAGTTGTAGCTAGTGAAACCATCAGTATAGAAGAGATTAAAACCCTNAACCCCCACAGCTTCAACCTTAAACTGTCTACTGTGGACCTCACCCCATTCCTAAGAGGTCCATAAAGGGGGCGTGAATAAGCGCACCAACCTGCCTACCATCCCTGTCCTACTGTCCCCATTTATTTGTACTTATTTCCCTTGTTCATGTCCATGTTTATACTTATACCTGATATCTTGTACATGTTTGACAAACTAAATAAAATAAAATTAAAATTAAAAAAAAAGCAAGCCCAAAAGCTTGGAAGAATAAACCTTTGGTCCAAGTTACCAATTCAGATGAGATCCTGCAGGATAAATTGTAGCTATGGATATTTTATTTAAACAGAAGATCCGCAGAGTAGTAAAACAGTTGTTGAACGTGGCGAGTTCTCCATCTCTGCACACTTTTTCAAGGAGGAGGAATGGATATCTCCAAGGGAGAATTTGAGGTTGGATTAGATCAGAGGTGTCCAACCGTGGCAACTTGAAGACCTGTGGACTTCAACTCCCAGAATTCCCCAGACAGCCATACTGGAAGTTGAAGTCCACAAGCTTTAAAGTTTCCAAGGTTGGATACCTCCAGATTAAATGTTCCATTTGACCTCTTTCAACTCTGTCATTCAGTGCTTAGGACGGTAACCTTATTCTTGTTAAACCTCTGGGTTGCGAGTTCCCTCCCCAACCTATTTCTGACAGAACATCTAAGGAAAGATTGGGGAGTTACAATTTAAATGAAATAATCTTTAAAAAGAAAAAAAAAGAATGACCTAGATAGAACAAGTCATTCGCTCTCCCCATCACTCTCATTCAACTATCATAATTCTTATTTTTAAAAAAATATCCAGTCCTTCTAATTGTCCCTGATTAATTTGAATGTTCAAAGAAGAGTTTAATAGATCTTTTAGCTAAATATGGTTTTGAATCTTGTTGGATATAATGGGAAAGTTCAGATGACATTGTTATGGATTGACTTTGTTAAACAGTGAACAAGATGAAAGGCGCAGAAATAGAGCAAGTCTCTCCCCCAAATCCTTTTTTCCCTTCTTCTGCTGATGACAATTGCAGCAAATGATACGTTTTCCCCAGCATCATTTTTTTCTGATTAACTTAATAGCAATTATATTGAGTTTGTGTCTTTTTTTTTTTTNTGCCAACATGGAACTTTGAGCAATACTTTGTCTCGAACTCCAATTTAATTTTGGATGATATTTTGAACCCTGACATTAACATTATGGACTGAACTCAACACTTTATGATTTCACATAATTTTTGGACAGGCCAATGGCCAGAGTTATTGGGAATTGTAGATCAATTCAATTTATTGAATTCATCAATAAAGATTGATCAAACGTGATCCACCATGGCTTCTCCAGCATAGCTCATTCCTTCCAATGCTATAGATCATAGGGCATCCAACCTTGGCCACTTTAAGACTTGTGGAACTTCAACTCCCAGAATTCCTGTGTGGCTGAGGAATTCTGGGAGTTGAAATCCACAAGTCTAAAAAGGTTGGCCATCCATGCCTCAGAGCCTAACAGATACATAAACCAGTGCTCTCATTAATAAAACAGTTGGTGGAGTCCGTTTTGAGGATTAGGCTGTTTTGAGAATAGAAATTAAATGCTGTGCTATTTTAGGATTTTGCGTTCGTTGCTGGAATGGGGAGGAGAGCTGCCAGAAAGGGCAAACAGTTATTGCCAATTGCCATTTCAGCTGCAAAACTGATGAAAATTAATAGATGCATAAATACCTGGACATCTTTGAGGCTTATTTGCAGGCACCATCCTGGCACCTCTGTGCTGTGTGACTCCCCGGCACACCTGAGGCCTTTCACACTTAGTTTGACAAATTAATTTCAGTGAAGGCTCTGCGCAACTTATCCTATCTCTGCACATCCAGTGTACTTCCCCCCCGCCCCACCTCCCCGTCTCAGCTCTTTCTGGAGACCACAGATGCTGTTTACCGCTTTCATTAGGATCTGGCTGAAAATAACCTCCGCAATCCATGGACCACAGTTATCTCTTACTCGCCGAAGGGACATAACATGCTTCCATAATGATTCCAACCCAGATCAAAAAGATTACGGTAACGCATGTGGTCCAGCTCATTTCAAAATGGCATGAACTTCTCCTTAAAGCGGGCTGCAAATGGACCTTGGTCCACATTTCCTGGAACAGCCAAGAGACAGCAGATAAGCAGCTTTAGACTATAGCCAGACAACTATTTATAGAATAGAAGAGAAGAGAATTGAATAGAAAAGAAGAAGAGAAAAGAAGAGAATAGAATAGAAGAGAATAGCATGGAATAGGATAGAATAGAAAATAGAATAGAATAGAATAGAGAATAGAATGGAAAAGAATAGGATAGGATAGAATAGAATAGAAAATAGAATAGAATAGAGAATGGAATGGAATGGAATAGAATAGAAAATAGAATAGAATAGAAAATAGAATGGAAAAGAATAGGATAGGATATGATAGAATAGGATGGAATAGGATAGAATAGGATAGAGTAGAATAGAATAGAGAATGGAATGGAAAAGAATAGGATAGAATAGAATATAGAATAGAAAATAGAATAGAATAGAGA